TATATAATATATGATATTTATATATGATATATTACCACTATATCATATTTTAAATTATTTTTTATGTAGAAAAAATTACCACATTTATTTTTTGATGCTACCACTAAAAATCCTCCACATCAGACATTAGAAAAACTCTACATATAAAACTACAGCCATGGTGAAATTTTTATTGCCGTTGATGTAGACGCTCAAAAGCCATCAATTTATTTTTTAGTAATGTTCACATATAACCGATAAAATGTCTAAAACATGGTTTTAGCTGGGTCTTTAGTTGCTGAGTGAGACTTACAGGAGCAGCGAGTAAAATAAAACTGATATTTTTCAGGTTAGAAAACAGGAATAATGAGCTGTGGCTCAAAGGTTTGTTGGGTTCAGGAAGACTTGGGGAAACATCCACAGAAAAACTGATTCGATTTAAATCTAGAAAAATTTAAGGTAAACACAGTGTGGTGGTGTTAGTGTTTATCAGGGAAACATAACTTCTGTTGTGACTGCTGTTCCAGTGGACAGTCCATTCCCAGGGTGGAGTACACAGAGGAGGAGAAGGCCACCTGGGGCACGGTGTTCAGGGAGCTGAAGACTCTGTACCCGACTCACGCCTGCCGTGAACACAACCGCGTCTTCCCCCTGCTGGAGAAATACTGCGGCTACAGGCCAGACAACATCCCACAGCTCGAGGACGTCTCCCGCTTCCTGCAGTGTAACTCCACACCTAAAAAAAACACTTGTTTTTCATCACTCTGAGGTTAAAATGCAGACATTTGAAAGACTATGTTTAATAATATAATTTATAAATGCACACTATTAAAAAGCTGCTAATTACTGCCTATAGATGGCAACAAAGCTGCTATAATATGTAACTTCTCTTCTAATGATTGATAGAAATAGACAATCTCTTTCTGTTATGAGTCACGCAACATCACACAGTCCATGAAACCCAATGCATGAGTCATCATTCAGTTCATTTGGCTGTACAGAGCCCCACTTCCTCTTCCTCCCTTCCTATCAATGCATGCTCTTATTCAACTCAAGCAACAAAACGCTCACTGTCTCATCTCTTTCATCTCCCCACCGCTCTCCTGCAGCATGCACAGGTTTCCGGCTTCGCCCCGTAGCCGGCCTGCTCTCGTCCCGTGACTTCCTGGCTGGACTCGCGTTCCGCGTCTTCCATTCCACGCAGTACATTCGCCACGGCTCCAAGCCCACGTACACACCTGAGCCGTGAGTGTCTCAGTGTATAAAGCTGATAAAAAATTACAGGTGAAGTAAAATCTTCCTTATTACAAGGAAGTAAAGATTTCTAAATTAAAGAGCAAATTGTGTTTCTAATCCAGGGATATCTGCCACGAGCTCCTGGGACACGTTCCTCTGTTTGCTGATCCAAGCTTTGCGCAGTTCTCACAGGTAATATTAAAGAGGAGAATTAACACTTTACTTTTTCCCTTTTCTATTATTCAGATTAGACCAAGAGTGATATGAATTCCTGTGCTGAGGCAAAAAGATGACAAATCTCAGTTTCACCAGTTTATCCTGGCCTTGTCTGACAGCGTGAGCAGCTCCTCTTAACCCATGTGCTTTGATCCCACACAGGAAATTGGCCTTGCATCTCTCGGAGCGCCGGATGAGTACATTGAGAAACTTGCTACCGTGAGTACTGTGTACAAGGCAAACAGCGGTAATAGATAAGAGCCTCTAATTACAAAAGATTGGATCAATCTAGACCACATTAAATAACCTGTTTCTTAATCTAACAGGCTATTCTGACATGTCGCTGCAGAATAAACACAGGTTTAATTAATAACATTAATTACAGTCCTCTTTGCTTTATAGAGCCTTTGGATTGTAAATATAAGAAGTGCATTTTGTCCATGACACGTGTTTACCTTGTTATGACATGGAAAAAACAGTTATTGTATCTTAATGCAGAAATTGGTCAAGACGAGCTTGAATTAGTATTAAGGCTTTCTGTTGATAAAATAGTACATATATGTATATATATATGTCTAGAAATATCAAGACATATATGCTGCTAAACACATTTATTGCAACTCTTTCAGTACCTCCAAAATCATGAATAATTTTATTTTAAAGTTCATTATTAATATTATATCTGTATTTAATATTCCTATTTTTAAATACTCAGAGTAAAACAAGAGATAAAAATGTGATCTAAATCCTAGAGTTTATTTGAGATTGTGTATATCAGAAGCAAACCTCAAGAATCTTAATGACAATTTATATTTTTGTCTTACATAAGTAAATATAAAAAGGAATAAAAAAGAGTGGAGAAATATTAAGAGAATAATAAAAAATAAATAAAAACTTACTTTACATAGTATAAAAATGCAATTTTTATGTCATCATCTTGTTTAAAATAAGATATTTTGTCCTCAGATTTCCTCTGAAACCCAAAGCTTCCTTTCCTTTTTTTTTTTACTGCTTGTGGTGTGTAAGTCACATTTCATGACCCAGGTGTGTGTCCCTCAGGTGTACTGGTTCACCGTGGAGTTTGGCCTCTGTAAGCAGGGCTCTGAGATCAAAGCTTACGGAGCCGGCTTGCTGTCTTCATTTGGAGAGCTGGGGGTAAGAGGAAGCCGAGTACAGCGATGAAGCACCTCCACAAACATTTTGCTTTCTGTACATTATTTTTATAACACATTTGCCTTATTGCACAACAGCAGGCAGTGGGTTAGTGGTCCACTCGGGTTCAGGTTTAATGTGTCACTGGGGGAGTTGCTCAGCAGGGCGGTGGTAAAGTGGTTCAGTGGGTAAGCACTCAGGTGGGGGCAAAGACTTCGAGGTCATGAGTTACATTAGCTGCTGTCAGCAGAGGATGCCCACTCAAGTCAGCAGAGTCTTAAATCGTGCCGCACTTCCTGTTTACAGACAGGAATAGAAATGCTCATTGAGAAAATAAAGCAGTGAAAAGAAAAACATTTTTTTCTTTCAGTACTCTCTAACAGAAAAGCCCAAACTTCTGCCTTTCGACCCCGAGAAGACGAGTGTCCAGAAGTACCCTATCACAGAGTACCAGCCGGTTTACTTTGTGGCAGAGAGCTTTGAAGATGCCAAAGAGAAAGTCAGGTAGGACAATTTTTAGTTTTTTAGTTGTTCTAAAATTTACAATGCATGCGAGTCTTTAATCATTCACATCTCTCTCTGCAGGAAATTTGCAGGCACGATCCCCAAGCCTTTCTCAGTGCGCTACAACCCCTACACCCAGAGCATCGAAGTGCTGGACAACACCCAGCAGCTCAGGAACCTGGCGGACAGCATCAACAGTAAGCAGCTTTGGTCAAATTACTTATGACTAGTCGTCTGGAAATATCAAATAATAGATGTCTGAACGTGAATGAATGTTTGACTTTGAGTGCCTTAAATTTAAACACCAAGCACAGTGTGGATTTGTTATGTACAGTGACCCCAAACTCCAAAAAGCACGTGCAAACTCCAAAAGTTTGTACGTGTTTTGTCTAGACCTGAACACAACCATACAATCAGCCAAAGGCCCACAGACCTGGATGTATACACTCAAAGGACTAATCAGGGAAATGCATGCAGCGTGAGACACAGGTGAAAATAATCAACACAATGAAATGGGCAGGAAGTGGAACCAAAACAAGACCTGGGAGTAAACCGTCAAAATACAAGAGAAACAACCCAAATGACACAGGCTTTTCTCACCTCCAGTTTTTACCTCCTCGTCTCCTCCATCCTACAATAGAATAAAATAGAATGTTTATAGTTAGATGTTTATATAAAGATGTATTTCTTTTCACATGTACAGTGGTAATTAGGTGCAATTTGAACACTATATAAAAACACTATATAAAAACAATAAAGTATATGAAAATATATTAGACATAACAATAAGTAAAAGATAAAAAGTAATCTTTCTCCGATATTACAGCATTGATTGCTTGTACAGCTCTGGGATAGAAACTGTTTTTCAGTCAGTTTGTCTTCATTTTATTTGTTCTGTACTGTCAGCCTGACGGTAACAGCCAAACACTAGCTGACCATGGTGATCGATCCATTGTGATATTATTAACCTCTTTGAGGCAGCAGGAACTGCCTGATCTTTCAGACATAGGAGGGGGCATCCAGTGAATTATAGGACTGTGTGGATGTTGCAGCAGAAACATAGAAACAATATGTTAATATGACCTCTGTGGAGCTGTGGTAGAAGGACACTAATGGTCTTTGAGAGATGTTCTTTTTGAGGGTCCTCAGGAAGTAAAATCACCAGCTCTGTGGTGTTTTTACACACTAAGTTAGTGTTATAGCTTCAGTGTGTAAAAGTAGGCAACGTGCCACACAGTATGGTGGGATGACTCTTTAAACAGCTCATGTGTGCAATTAAAAAAATACTCCACCATATTGTGAATGTTATTAAAAGCCATAAATAAATAAAGTCCATAAATATGAAAGCATGCGATGAGCATTAACATACAGCAGTAGTTGTTCCTCTGACTCTTCTATTTTCTTCTGTTTCAGGTGAGATGGGGAAATTGTGCGAAGCCCTGCGGAAGCTGGAGTAACAGGACAGGAGATCAGACTTGGAGAACCCTCCTAACAATTTCTTCTTGGCTTCTTTAAACGTCATGCTTAGAGATTCAACTTCTTTGTATTAAAACACATACGCAAGTCAGATAGTGACCATATTCTTAGAATTCAGGTAATAGGAAACATGGGCCCGTTACTTATGGAGAATAGTAAGTTTATAACCTCATTAATGTTACGTGAATAATAGCTTTTCAAAATAAGAGCATTGTATAATAAACATTTCTTTGTTAGCTAACTGCAATAATCAGGTTATTATGCTTTTCAAAATGACAGGAGGCTTTCTGTTATTATATTTCATTTAATCTGGATTAATTAAATGTTTTGTATATGCATGACAGTTTTTAATAAATATCTCTTTACTCTGACTGTACTTCCTGTGTCTACTGTCAGCTAATATTCCTCTAGTGAGAGGAAAAAACGAATGCCCACTTGGGGTTGGCTTCATAGACTCCAGCTCCAGCAAAGAGTAATTTTGTCCTCTTTGGATAGTTTTACTTTCTGTATTCAGAAGTCTTGATGGGGTGCATTTTTTATTACTCATTCATTTCTAGCTGGGGTCACTCATTGTGCCTTTTAAAGTGTTATTAATGGTATCATCATTCTAAAAATTAAGTCTTCATGCTCCAGTTTTGCTAATATTGTCACTTAGCGCCAGAGCAGGCTCAAAGTATAATGGGGGCCTTAAATGTTGAGACGTGCTGTGCTCCCCAGCACCATTTAAAAAATTCTGTTTAACACTAATTAGCAGCTATCTGTGCCTGTGAGTCGCATCTGTATAGTTCATCAGTTTAGCTCTTAGCGCTTCACCTTTCTTCCAAATACGGTCGCTTCTGGCTATCACTTCTCCATCTTTTATATACAGTCTTTGGTCTGTCCATATTAACAGACTGCAAAGCATTCTGGGTGCTGTAGGATATTCTTTTTTGGAGGGGAACAGCTGGTACCAACACAAACATCCCCCTCTGTTGTACACCACCAGTTCAGTGAATAAAAAAGGGTAATTTACTTATAAATCCACCTTTTAGGTCAGCTGGAGCATTATTAAGGCTGATTAGTGTGCTCTTTTCCTCAATGAGGTGAGGTTATGTTCACCTCACTGATGTCTTCTTTACCTGCAGTCTAGATGTAATCTTGAATCTGTTCCTGTAGCTGCCCCAAAACACAGGGTGAATAAGAAGCGAACATAATAATCTTCATAGCATAATTTTCTATTTATATCCAAGACTGTGTAACGTTTACGTAACCTTTAATGGTTTTGTCTGAGTGCACCTGAAGCGTCTCCTCCTGATATTTGTGCCCCATAAATAGAAAAAACGCCCTGACGCAAAGCAGGCCTCCAAGCAGCTCATCTCCATACAGCCTCTAGAGGACAGGAGGCTATTTAAACCTGTCCGAGCTCTCAGCTCCAACAGAGATGAAGACGGACGGTGTGGTGCAGACCTTCAGCGGGAGGAAGCAGAGCCTGATCGAGGACGCGCGCCGGGAGCGCGGAAGTGCCGGCGGCGGCGGCCCGGCGGGCTCCCCGGGGCCCTCCAGGTACGCAGACGGCTTCGTGTTTGAGGAGAAGGACGGCAGGGTGACCCTGAACGTCCTGTTCGCCCTCAGCAGCGAGAAAAACGCGGGCTTCTTCAAAACAGGGAAAATATTTGAGGTGAGCCTGAGACTGAGGTGTGGAAGCACTTCATTAAATGCATAGACTCGTGTGACGATTTTATAAATTAAATGTAAACTTGAAAAAAGCATACATTTCAATGTCAAGCATGTCTCAAACACTCTTGAATCGTGCGACAGAGGCATTTTTCAGTAAATGAAGCCAGATATCACCATTAAATTTCCTCATTTCTTTTAAGGACTGATGAGTTTGTGACGTGTAATAATGCATTAAATTTATAAATATGCATTAATTTGCACATTTACAGAACATTTTTTTTGCTTTGTTGACACTTGTCCTTTGATAACCTTATAAATAAATTAAAAAACAAAAAAAAAACTACAGAGAGCCAGAAGCAAAGCACATTATTCCACATTTCATGGTGTGCAGAATCCCTTACAATAAAACTTTCAGAAAATCCAGAATTACTGCAAAGTTTAAAGCTGGTGTTACTGAAGAGGGAACTTCTGGATAAAAGGATGTCAATTATCAGGCATTATTGCTGCTGTAGGAAAAAGTCAGATTTTTATTAGAGATATCACCAAAACTAATTACTAATTAATTTCATTTATGCAGTTAAATTGTACTGCTGTCTTTTTTTAACCAAGACACTCTTAAATTATATTTTTAATGTCAAGAATCTTGTTTTTTCTCCTGGGTAATGGAAAACAAACAAACAAAACAACGAATTTGTGTTTGGTAAGTGAAGATTTATTTGGTGTGGGTGATTTGTCTTGAGCAGCCTGTGAAGCTCATGGAATGAGTGACAAATAAAAAGATTTTGTTATGTTTATGGGGTAAAGCTAAAGACCAGCAGAACTGAAAGAAAAACCTGAAGGAAAAGCAGGAAAATTACATCTTTGTACTTTTTAAAATCTCTTGCAGACATTTGAAGCCAAGCTTCTCCACATCGAGAGCCGAATGGGGAGGAAGTGTAAGAACAGCACGACGGACCTGGAGTTCTTCATGAAGTGTGAAGTTCACAGCTCAGACCTGGACGTGTTCGTCAACTCACTGAAGAGAGTGGCTGACGACGTTCGCTGCATGCCAGAAGAAAAGGGCAAGTGTCTGATCATTGATTCACCCCAGTGCTTTTATCATGTTAGCACAGGACCCATTAACCACTGCATGCGATATCAGCCAATCAGACGGATGGCAGGAGCACTAATTAGTTTGTTTGCGCTCGACCACAGTGCCCTGGTTTCCCCGACAGATAAAAGACCTCGACAGATGCAACATGTTGATCACCAAATTTGATCCTGACATGGACCACGACCATCCAGTGAGTGATTACGCATCTGCTCCTAAATGAAAGACAAAAATAATGGCAAAATAGAGTGTAATGATCATTATTCATTTATTGCAGGGATACAATGACCCTGAATACAGAAAGAGACGGGCCGTCATCTCTGAGCTGGCCTTCAGATACAAACAGTGAGTCCCTCTACGCTGATGACGTCTGAAAAAGTCACGTTTGGCATTACCGGGTTAAAAAGTTTAATCTAAAAGAGGTGAAAAGTTTGAATTGTGCAGCTGAAATGATGCATAGGCTGGTGGAATTGTTAGCTGTTGCAGCACAAAGAAAGAAGTGATCAGAAAAACACCACATCAGATGCTGCAACCCGCAGGTGAAGCTGTGAATAAAAGCTGGATGTTTTTAACTCTATGCCGCCCCCTACTGAGCACCTGGACTGTCTCCACTTGTAATGTCTTATCTATACTGTGCAGATTATTGCTTTGACTTCAGGATATTTCATTTGAAATTTTAATGCCATAGTTTCCTTATTTTTATATATATCTTACCTTTATATCTTTCTGGGTTAACTGGTGACGTGAATGCAGTCAGATCCAGTTTAAAAATAGTTTATTGAACATATTATTGAACATGTGGGGACTGATGTTTATGAATATCCTGCAGGGGGGACCCGCTACCTGTGGTGGAGTACACAGCAGAGGAGATATCTACATGGTGAGGCAGCCCAGCCTGCACAGTCATGGCTGTAGATGCACTGTGGAGGGGGCGATTACATCACAGTGATGCTCTGGTATGGTTGTGTTTAAAGGAGGCAGGTCTACCAGCAGCTGAGGAGCATTTACCCGAGTTTGGCCTGCAAACAGTTCCTAGACGGCCTGCAGCAGCTGGAGAAAGAGTGCGGCTACGGAGAGGACCGTATCCCTCAGCTACGAGAGGTGTCGGCCTTCTTGAAAGGTGACACACTTAAAAATTAAAATCTGAACAGAATTGAACTCAGACGAGTTTTAAAAGTCTCTAAAAGACGAAATTACACGTATAAAGAAGAGAAGTAGTGTTTAAGATATCACTCTTTTAAAATGCATTATAAAAGTTCTTCACTTCTTCAAACAGCTTTTTATTTTCTTGGCTATTTTCTCTCATTAGTTAGGTTTCATTTAGACAGATAAGCAGATGAAACGTGATCCTTCGCATGTTTTTTTGTGTCACAGGTACTGATGCATCTTTTGATGCATTACAAGTGGGGAGTCTGGGACGACAGTGCTGTGCCTTAATGCTGTTTTTGTGTTAATTAAAGCTCCTTGTTGTGACAACAAGGACTGAAATGAAGTAAAGACGCAGAAAGAGAAGATACCAAAACGGACAGTTTATTTTCTGTTCTTTTTTTCTGGTTAAATTCAGAGAGAACTGGTTTCCAGCTGCGCCCAGTAGCCGGCCTGCTGTCAGCCCGAGACTTCCTCGCCAGTTTGGCCTTCAGGGTGTTTCAGTGCACGCAGTACATCAGACACTCCTCTGCGCCCATGCACTCCCCTGAGCCGTGAGTTTTTAGTAAGACCTGAACTGTTTCTTTATGCTCTTGGCTGATTTTACTTTGATAATAAAGATCACACCGCTCCCACAGAGACTGCTGCCACGAGCTGCTCGGCCATATCCCCATGCTGGCAGATAAGGAGTTTGCCCAGTTTTCACAGGTGACTGAACTGTGAGCTTGTTTTTATTCTTTGTGTGACCTTAAATGAAGTATGAATTAATAAACTTGGATGTTTTCAGGAGATTGGACTTGCCTCACTCGGGGTTTCTGATGAGGACATTGAGAAACTGTCAACGGTATGATTCTCAGCCTCAAAAATAGAACATGTAAATGCAATGAGTGATTTTTAACACATTCATGCAGACCTACAGCTTCACTCTTTGCAGTTTAATGGCCTTCAGTGCCATCTAGTGGTAAACACCTTAAATCAACCCTTTTTTTTTTTTGCACTCTGCAGTTATACTGGTTCACTGTGGAGTTTGGCCTCTGCAAGCAGAACGGGGCAGTAAAGGCTTACGGCGCTGGACTTCTGTCCTCCTACGGAGAGCTTGTTGTGAGTTTCCTCACACACAGATGTCCTCTGTTTCTGCATTTACCTGCTGTGCTGTCTGACACTGCTGGTGACCTGTGTCTCCAGTACGCCCTGTCCAACGAGCCCGAGTACAAGCCGTTTGCCCCGGAGGAGACTGCGGTCCAGCCGTACCAGGACCAAACCTACCAGCCGGTTTACTTTGTGTCTGAGAGCTTCGAGGATGCAAAGATGAAACTGAGGTACAAGCAAAATATATATAAGCACATAGAAACCCTCATCAAATGTTCATGGAGGTCCCTACTTTTTAATAGTGTATTATATATCCTATATATATTATATATTGTTGTCTTCTTTTTGGCACTTGTGATGGACATAGAAAAGATGGACATAGCTACAGTGACATCACCCTTCATTAATGCAGGTTATGAAGTCTCAACTAGAACTAACAACATTTGAATGAGAAGTTGGAGTTAGAGCTGCCGACTATCTGCCTCCACTAGTTGAACTCACAAAGTGGACCTCTCTACTGTGTCTCTGCTTCTCTAGGGAGCGTTTTTAGGGGAAATATCTGACTAATAATATGTCCTGCTGTGAGGTATAGACCATCCATATGTTTGTGCTTCAGTTTGAGTGAAATTCCAGTATTTCATTTGTTTGTCACTTGCACTGATTAGCAGATATTTGTGCCTGTGAGTGGCACCTGTACAGTTTAGCTCACTCTTGTCCAAATATGCTCCCTTCCGGCTCTAAAAAAAACCAAGCCAATGTGTCACACAGACATAGAAACTGATCTGCAACCATCTGGCAACCACCATCATGCCAGTCACACAGGGCCACAGACCAGTTACTGACCCTCTGACAACCACCAGTTGGGAGTGTGGCCCACAAAAAGGCCAGCCACTATACTGAGATTTAAGTAAACACTGCGGTCAAAAATGCAGAGCACAAGCAGTTTTATTGGTTATGTAAATATGCAGGAAATGCAAATAGATAAAGATGAAAAACTACAGGCAACCATGGCAACCTGCTAGCAATCAAAGCAATTACTAGGAGGTTTTTGGTGCAGCACCAAGTTCATCCAGTGAGTGCCAGCCATTACCACTGCTAACAACACTACAGTATACGTTTCCATAGCAACCTGTGGTTGTATCACATCTAGTATGGCAGACAATTCTACCAGTGGGCATGACATTGAGTGAAAAACCAATCAGACAGTCTTCAGTACTACAGTTGATCTCAGTAGAATCGCTGTTTATTATACCCAGTAGAAAATCTCCAAAGTGATTTCTAGACATGTCTGGTCAGTTAAACGTTGTTCTCTTTCTAATATTTGTCTTCAATTTGTTTTATGTGCACAGGAAATACTCTGCAAACATCAAGCGCCCCTTCACAGTCCGCTATGACCCCTTCACCTGCAGCGTGGAGGTCCTGGATCAACCCAGTAAAATCCAAAACGCCTTGAGCCAGATGAGGGAGGACCTCAAGACCCTGCACAGCGCCCTGGAGAAGCTCAGCTCGTCTTAAGACCGGGGGAGACATTTTTATAAGATTTCTCCTCCTTATGTAGTGAGATTTGTAAGGCTCCACTGGGCCATTTAACTGTGTGTATAAAGTAGACCATGTAAAAAGACAATAAATGTTTATTTTCATGAAAAACTCTTTGTTGTTTTACATTTCAATCTGAAAAAAATGCGCCACAGAGGTGGTTCAATGTTTGTCAGCAGGACTAATCAAAGGCAAAAGGCTGAACCACTACAATACAGGGCTCCCAGACCATTTTCTAGCTTTTAATTCCAAACCGACTATTTCCATTTGGAAAATTCTTGGAAGTCATTTATCTTCACGTGTTATTAAGCAAAGGGAAGGAGCTAATTATGAATGATTTAAGTATCGTGTTCCCTCTTCTGGTCAAGGCCAGAGCCAGCACTGAGGCCCAACACGTCAGCAGGGCCAGGTCGCCGGGACCTCACAGCCGACCACAGCACGGTCCGCAGGGCTGCGCTGCTGACAGACGCTCTTCTCTCTTTATTTCTCTTTGGAGAATTTGGCCTTCGGGGTTTTTGATAGACGTCCAGCGTTTTGATCTCCACACCGGCGACAATGCATATCAAAGCCGTGCACGTCAAAGCTTCCCCTTGAGAAGACAAATCATCTCCATCTGCAGGATTCATAAAGCATCACCAGCATCAAGACGGTGGCTGGCAAAAGCCTTGCGCCAGCCACCTTGTGTTGGGAAGCTTTCCCTTCCCATAATTCCACTGTGCAGTAAATCAAGCCTCCCTGGGAAAAGCTTGTGTGTGCAGAGGAGAAAAAATTGTGTGCAAAAAGAGAGGGCTAGGGAGGGGGGGGGAAGAGTAATCTGCTGCTTTTGAAAGTGTGCAGCAACGCACACACTAGCACTCTCCAACCAAATGTTTCACACTTTATAATTTCTTGTAACCCGGCAACCAGCAGAAGGGATCCAATGAGATTCTTGCGCTTTGCTTACTCGCCACAAATCCCAAATGCTGTGTCATCCCTGTATCATCTAACCATGAGTGTTTCCTTTATTGATGTCAGGGCCATCTCATCCCGACGCTGGCTCGGTTGCTTCTGAAATCAGGGTCAGGAGGTTCACTGCGTCCTCAGTAAGATAGTCTGTGAGGCACATTAAAAGTCCATCCCAGTCCTCATGGGTCCGTTTTGCACTAATGCACCTCACTGGACCTCAAGGTAAATATGTGCACCTTTTTTCTCCCTAAAAGGTACACAGGTCATGAACCACCCTTTATTTTGCCAGGAAAATTGGGAAATAGCTGCAGGGATTTATTGAAATCTGTGCTAACATGCAAGTAGTACAGTATACAAGGCACAAAATAGTCTTTTGTTTTGGGGTTTTTTCTTTTTTTACAATCACATGACCACCTTTATTCTTCAACACAGCCTGAACTGAAGGCAACCTTCTTTGAATTTCTTTAAGTAGTCTTCAGGAATAGTTATCCTGTGTCTTGAAGGGCATTTAAAGCTCTTCTTTGGATGCTGTATGCCTTTAGATGATCCCACACTGCTTCAGTAATGTTGAGGATGTGTGTTTTTCTATCCAGAGATGCTTTTACTGCATTGGCAGTGTTTGGGATCATTGCTGTCAATCAGAAACTTTCCAGATGGTATTGCATGTTGGATTAAAAATAAAAAAATTCATAGTTTTCCGTGACAAGATCTCCAACACCGCTGGCTGAAATGGAAACCAAACCATGACAGAGCCTCCGCCATGTTTTACAGATGACAGATGACAATTTGAACCAACAATTTTCACATTTAAATTTATTCAATTCAATTCAATTTTATTTATACAGTGCCAAATCACAACAACAGTCTCTCCAAGGCTCTTCATCACTCCATCAGGCCAGTTCTTGTGTAAGTTTGTATACCTCGTTCTCTTCAGCCACCCTACTCTGATGAGGCATCAGGGAACAGCAGATGGATCCGATGAATGTATAATGTATATGTCTCACAAAATCCCACATCTCTCTGATCTTTTTTCCTTTTTCTTGAGGATATACCTTTCAGATACTGTTCTTCTTCTTCTTCTATACAGACATGGATAGGTTAACTGGTGATTCTAAACATGGATCCAGGAGCTCATGTCATAGTGGACAGTATTAGTAAAATACATATCTATACAAACTTGTTTGGTCTATGATGTGTACTCAAGTAGTAAAATGACATTCACTGATCAGTTATAATCTATGTGTCTCACAAAATCCCACATCTGGACGTGCCCCCAGCACTGCCCCAGCCACAAGGTGTTGTAAGAGTATTTCATGAATTAAATACTCTTAAGAATCACTTGGGAAAGCCTTATAGATAAATAGATGGATAAAAGGAATAGTTAAACATTTTAAGAGACATTTTATCTGAGTCACTATACTATACTTGTGCGTGAGGAGCTGAAGTCAGGTGAGGGAAGGCAAAGCAAAACAACACACCTCTGAAGCTGATTAGCGGTTCCTTTTTTGTTCACTTCAGTTAGTTAATATGTTAAACACAGACAAACATCTGTCAGCCATCATTAGGTGAAGCCCTGGAAGCATCTGCAACATCTGGAATTCAAACAAAGTCAACTTTAGAGAAGTGTGGTTTTTACAGCAGCTTCACTGACGCTGAAGTTAAACAGAGAGAACAAGAGACAGAACGGAAGTAAGGAAATAAGACATTCATCGGTGATTGGCTGGACTTACCTGGAAGACCAGGACTCCAGCTTATGGTAAATTTATGATGGAGAAGGAAAGTTCAGTGTGATCTCAGGCAGTCAGTTGAATTTGTCTTTCCAGCTCCAGAGCAGCAATATGCAACTACTGCATGGTATTAACTTTTTGTCCTGTGTTAAAATATCCAACTAAGCAGAATTAAAAAGCACATTTACAACCTGGCACAGCAGCTCCAGAGGCTGCTGGCACCGATTCTCAAAGCCAAAGTCATATTATTTCAAATACAGCCCAGTTGGATCCAAATATATGGATTTTCAGAACAATTAAATTAATGAGTAAGAACAGATTTAATAAATTACTTACTCATTATTAGATGATGAACAGCCAGAGGCGTCCCAGTTTTTCTGTTTGGTTTATCCATCCATCCTTCCTTTCTCTTCCACTTATCCTTATTAGGGTCATGGGTGGGCTACCCCAGCTGCCATAGAGCGAGAGGCAGGGTTCATCCTGGACAGGTCAACAATGTGAAGCAGGGCTAACACAGACAGATGACAACCATTCATACCCACATAGTTAACTCCTCCCTGCAAATGATGCTACCAAGCTAAGGGTCTAGCCGATGCCAGTGGATGGGTAGGTGGGTTTAAGTATTCCTGGGCCTTTGACAGTCAACCATCTAACCTCCCAGTGCCATTTCTGTTTCCATTGTCCTTTATTCAGGCTTTGAAGAGACCACTCCCATCATGCCAGAAATGTTTCATCAACAGTTTTTTTTTTGTGTTTGATTTCAGATGATGAGATGTCAAGGTTCAGTGAGTAAACTCAGAAGTGCAAAAGCACCCAGCTGAGTTTGCTCTTTCGTTCAAACGTGCTCATAAAACTTTAAATCGGGTGCAGGTACAATATAGACCTTATAAAAGGATAAACCGTTGACACACAGCTTCCATAAAGTGCATACTGGCTGCATCAACACTTCAGATGATCAGCCAACACCACCCTAAAGCAGTGATGGGACCCTTTTTCACTGACTCTTTCTCCTTACTCCATCAAGATCAGCATAATCGCTTCATTCTGGGAAAGCATCGCAAACAAACCAGGCCAACCACAAGATTAAATCAAACACCAGCCTCAAAGAGCTCTAATCTCTCTCTTTGTTTCCTGCCCTATCATGCTCCTCATTATTTTTATTTTGCTCTCTTTGTGTTGAGCCCCCGGCTTAAAGTTGGCAGGGCCGCAGAAGAATTATCTGGGGGCAGGAGATTAGAAAGAAGTTTGTGAAGATTTGAAGACGGCCTGATCTCGCTTTCATCGTTTCACAGTTTGTTATTAGTCCACACAGCACCGCCACCGCAAGAGATCAAGCTTCATTCAGGTTACATCAAAAGGTAACGCCGGGGTCATCTGAGTGACATCTGAGGACTGCTTTCAGCAAAGAGAAGTCCACACAGCTCATGAACAAGATTAAGCCTCCCTGCTGTTCTGTCAGGCAGCCATCAGATGGCCACCTTGAGTCACAGGATTTGTAAACCCGCTCAGGATTGAGACTCGTGTTTGTGATTGCAGCAGGCGGAATGTGCACACATGAAAGGGCATCTTAAACCACTAGTTTATCCTTCTTTACAGGACTACTCTCGGTCTGTTACTGACTTACATATGTGACATGAGTAAAGGAAGTCAGTTCCTTTCAAAAAGAAGCCAGCACTGAATTGGAAAGAAAGGCTTCAAACTTAATTTTTTTTAAAAATCCACTAAATCGTATGCACTGTCTCACTAAATGGCCTTGAAGTAATTTTAAAACATCTGGGACCCTTATTTTAGGCTGTAAATGTAGACGCCTGAGCATTGCTACCCCCCATTTGGTCCAAGACGACTGTGACAACTTTTTCTCATGCTCCGGGTGCCTGAAATGAGAGGGAGGCATTTGTGACGATGAAGATGGAACTGAAAGCGTACGAGTGGGGAGGGGAAGAGTCCAGGCAGGGTTCAGTGATTTGTGACAGAAAGACAAGGTTCACAAGATAGTAGTGACACCTGCTACGATGTGCCTTTTGGAGACGGTGGTACTGATAAAAAGACAAGAGGCCAAGCTTTAGATGTTAAGATCTTCATTGGGAGTGATCAGAATGGACAGAGTTAGTAGATCAGAGGGAACCGTTTGCAGACAAAGTAAAAGGGGCAAGGCTGATATGTGCATAGGAGGGATGGTGGATATGCTGGACAAAGGATGCTGAAGATGCAAGGGAGGAGGAAAGGAGGAAGGCAACAGAGAAGATTTAGTGAAGGAGGACACGCAGAGGGTTGGTGTGACAGAGGATCCAGGGGATAGAGTGAGAT